CCACTGGTTAAATTAATCAGGGACCGTAGTAAACTATTTGACTCCCAAAGAAGCGGTAAATAAGGGCCCTTATCGGGAGTCAGACAACCGTGAATTAACTCAAGATCAAACCACGGAGTTACCTAATTTATTCGAGAGGTGAAGAACTAAAGAAGAGAGAAACAGACGAAAAGCTAAAAAAAAAGGTTGCACAAATGCAGCTGAAAAAACTCCCAATCAGAGGTTATGACTAAGAGCCCGTATATGGGAATGCAGCCAATTATTCACCCCTTCCTAGTAGAGCTGTTCTGAGAAAAGGAAAACCATGGGACTGAGGAGGCGCAGATAGCATATTCATCCTCCAATAAAAGTTCTTCGGAGTACTTTTTTTCTAGAGGGTCACCGTGGCATCTGCGTCCCCTCAATCCCATGGTTTTTCCCCTGTGCCCAGTTACGAATTAGCTGTAGACATCTAAGTCCTACTCAAAATGGATTTTTTGATACTAATGTTGCTTTTACCGCGAGTTAATGTGTTGGGCAGCGCTTTAGACCTGTTAGCAAACCCTGACATTTATCTGGGCTAACCACGACACGATAACCCCAGTTAAGTTAGGTTAACTACGTCCCAGGTCTTTTCGAAAAATGAACAGGATCCACATGAATTCAAGATTCCCTCTTGCTGCTTTTGAGTATCACTTTTTAACTATCTAAATAACCTATATTTCGGAAGGCGAGCAGAAAATGGAGTACAGACCACACATCATGAGAGAAGGCGGTCAAGAAACTCAGGCTTTTGTTTTTCTTGCCCCTCGTCTCTTATGGTGTGATCTGCGCTCGATTCTTCTCTCGTCTTAGGAAATAGTTCTAGCGCTAGATGTTTTTCTGTACATTTGTCCAGTAGCTTGAGTGCTCCTGAGAACCATGCAATAATAGTTACTTCAGTGATGAGAATTATACATTTAGCAAAAATAGCTACGGTCATTTTCTTTACCGTGTTTTAAATTCTCTCTCTTGCTGTTCTTAGTTCCCCGACCTAACTATCTGAATGACCTCTATTTCCTAAGACGAGCAGAAGATCGAGCGCAGATC